CCTCGGGCCCTCCAGCCGATGAGGCAGGACGCTGGCTGGGTTCACTTGAACCCCCAGCTAACGTGGCTTGAGACTGGACGGGCTCCTCGGGCCCTCCAGTGGAGACAGACACTGAAGCAGCAGGTACGGAGACCTCTGGCAGTGTGGACACTGGCTGGGGCTGAGCAGCACAGTGGCTTGACTCAGGCAGCAACAGTGGGATGCAGTCCTCGGAGGGCTGTAAGTGTTCCCCAATACACTCAGCAGAGGACAGAGGCGGACGGGTGAATTCACTTGAACTCTCAGGGGTGCTGAGAGCCGAGACCGTTCTGGTGAGTTCTCCGGGTGAGCTGCTGGCGCTGGCGTCTTGACCTCTAGGGGTCCAGAGTTGGCTGGTGACTGACACCCAGCCTCTGGGGAGGCCCTAGAGGGAGCAACTGTCTCTGAGATGGCCAGCTTAAGAGAACCAGCAGATATTGTGGTGAAGTGTGTTTCCTGCTTTGAATGAGAAGGTGAGGATGGGCAGACAGCTGAACTGGTGGCAACAGAGCTATAGGCAGCGAAGCGGCTACAGACTGACCTACCAGTAGTGGAGACAGTTGTAGTGGAGGCGTAATAAATTGTGGAGTGTCTGACTGAACTGAGGGCAGCTGGGCTGCTGACTGAACTGAGGGCAGCTGGGCTGCTGACTGAACTGAGGGCAGCTGGGCTGCTGACTGGGGTGAAAGTGAGGATGGGACAATACGGCCAGAAAAACCAGTTTCAGAAAGGTTTATTGCTTTCCCTGAAGGAACTGACGGAGACAAGAAAGCTTCCCTGACACTTAAATTCCCTATGTTTGTAGTGCTAGGCTCAGCTACTCCGGGCATGGGAACAACAGCGTGAACATAGTAATTAACACGAAAAGTCGGCTCAACAAAGGCAGTCTTAGGAGCAATGGTCATGGGTGAGACAGAGAAATCCTTATTATTTTTAGAGGAGACACAAAAAATAGCTCCAGAAGAAATAGACCTAGTATCTGGGTCAGAAGGAACAGAAAGAGTGTCTGTTTCACCCACCACAGCCGGCTGTTTTGACATCCTGAAGTCTGGCTGTGGGGTGCCGCGCCGGTGCCGCGCTTGGAGTCGGCTCCGACGGGCCGGGTAACACCTCATCCAGCAGTTCGGACGGCACGTGCTCCACTGAAACGAGCGGGCGAGCGGTAGCGGCGGGGGGGTGAAGGTGGAGTTCGTGGAGAATGAAGTTTTGTACCACAGGGTGCAGTGAGTCCAATAGCCAGGGATAATCGGAAATAAGCTGTTGTAGCCTGGCTTCCAGAAGGTAGAGAAATGCTTCTCCCTCATGCTCTAGCCACAGGTTAATTAATTTTGAAGCAGAGTTCATTATGATATCCAAAAGCTCCGTGGGTGGGGTGAATGCCGCTGGATCCATATCGGGCTGGTCCGTACTGTCACGGCGAGTGAGATGAGCCGTGTGGAAAATAAAGGAGGATCCAAACGCAGGCACTTGTAAAGGTGTGATGGTGGTTTATTAAACACAAAATAAAAATGGACAAAAGGCGAACCAAACAAGGACTAAACTAGACTGGGAACAAACTGACTACAGAACACGAACCTGAACCTGAACATGAATGAAAGTGAGCAGAAACACCTGGCGGTGTTTCCACACAGATGAAGCAGGGTGGAATACACAGACGGACCAGCAACTACAATGACAGAGGACACGACTTAAATACACACAGAGAAACACAGGGGAATTACACACAGGTGGTGGACACAGCTGGGAATAATCAACAAGACGAGACACAGGTAAAACTGAACACACTCACATGAGACGCAGACCTTCCCAATAAAACAGGAAAAGAGAACACTGCACCAAGACGCAGACCTGACACTGAGACAGACAGACAGAATGACACATGGAACCTGAACTAAACTAAACGTGAGATACAACCGAGAACAAATCCTTAAACATGAATAAACAGAAACATAGAATTCTAACGCCCAAAACCACAACAAACATTCAAAAATAAACTAATCAATCAAAACTCAAAATACTGGGTCGAAACTGACCCAGAACCGTGACACCGGGATAGATTTGTTAAAATTTTTAAGAAAAATAATTAAATCATCAGCATACAAGGCTAAGCGATATTCTGTCTGTCCTATTGTTATACCAGAAATAATATCATACTATCATCTCGCTGCAATAGCCAAAGGCTCAATTGCCATAATATATGATCAATCAATCAATCAATCAATCAATAATGAACAACGGTGGGGACAAAGGGTCCCCTTGTCTACACCCTCGATTTATTTTTATGGTTTTTGAGATATTATTGTTAGTCAGGATCTGTGCATATGATTCCTTATAAAGTAATCTTACCCAATAACAAAAATCCTCTCCCAGACCAAAGCGCGCCAGAGTCTCAAACAAATAAAGGCCATTCCACTCTGTCGAATGCCTTTTCAGTGTCAAGTGACAGTAAAGCAGTGTCAAGAGCCCCCCTTTTGGTCATAAAGAATGTTCAGAATCCTTCGGACATTGTGGAATCCTTGTCTGCCCCTAATGAATCCGTTCTGATCCCTCCCAATTATTTTAGGTAGTATTTCTTCGATTCTCTTGGCTAAGATTTTACAAAGTATTTTTAAATCTGCATTAAGAAGACTGATGGGTCTCCAGTTTTCACATTTATTGTGTGGTTTACCAGCCTTTGGGAGCAGACTAACTAGTGCTCCTTTCAAGGACTGTGGTAAGGTGCCCTTTTGAAAGGATTCTGTTAACATTTCTAAAATTGGAAGTCAACAGTTTATATTTAAACTTTTTATAAATTTCAATTGGGAGGCCATCGTGTCCGGGGTTTTTCCCCGATTCAATACTATCGATTGCAGCAGATAATTCCTCGACAGTGATATCTTTCTCCAAAATAGCCCTAAGGTCTTCTGGTATATTGGGTATATTTATCTTATCTAAAAACTTTTTTAGTTCTGAGTGGTCATTAGATATTTCTGAACTGTAAAGATCTTCATAATATTTCCTGAAGGCTCCTGCCGGATCCACAATAATTTCTCCTAGCTCATTTTTGCAGTGAGATAATAGCCCTTTCACTCTGGAGCTGCTTGAGACGTCATGCAAGAACCTTCCCAGGTTTTTCACCCTGATTGTAGAAGAACTGTTTAAGTTGCAGCAGACTGGCCACAGCTTTTGAGGCAGAGAGTTCATTCCATTAGGCCCAAAGCAGCAATACATTTTGCTGTATTTCAGGGGACCTTGTGTGATAGTATTCATTGTCTAATTCCTTTATGTTTGTCTCTAACTTTTTTGCCTTTTGGATTGGATTGGATCTAATTATTTGGCCCCTAATAAAAGCCTTAAAAGCCTCCCATCTTATGCTTGCAAAAGTTTCTGTTTTATTCATTTCAAAATAGAGGCTAATTTGTTCATCCAAAAGCAAGACAAAACCAGGGTCCGCCAACCATTTTTGTTTGCAACGCCAAATCCTAGCATCTTTCACAAGTCCTGATATACCAATGAATTGGGAGCATGATCTGAGATTAGAATAGCCTCATTGGAGCATTCCTTGATTTTAGTCCCAACTCTGCAGATATCAAAAATAAGTAAATTCTTGAATAGGACTTGTGTGCACCAGAATAACATGAGAACTTTAGAAAGTCCGGATTTTCTTCCCTCCAGATAGCTATTAAGTTCAATTCCTTCATAAAGCGCTGTATAGTGTGGGATTATAATATTATTTTATGCCATGTTAGACCCTTAATTAAAGATTGTGAATTATTATGTAATTTTAGTTTGCATTATTCTCCTGAATTAGAAGAAGGTGATAACTATTGCATTTGTTAAACTGATTTGCATTACATTAGACTGCTGATTGATTGTGAATGAATGATATTGTTTTATGATGCATTATACTGCTGAGTTATAAGAAATACTGTTCGCAGAAAGTCATCGCCTTATTTGTCTGATTAGAAGAGAACAGAACATACTGGAGTTTTCTGCCCCATCTCAGCAGGAGCAGATAAACAGGGAGCCAAGGTCGTAGCTTAGGCACTGTGTGAGAGAAAGAATGTGAATGTTTAGGCTTTTATGATTAGGTGGGGGCCACTAGAGGCTATAAGAGTTTGATCAATGCTCCACCATTTTGAGATCTGATGCTGTCTGCGTACGGTGTCCATCTCCCACGTGTGTGATCATTAAAATCATCGTTTGACTCAACCCTGGAGTGGTATGGATTTATGCACCCCTCTCGCTTGAGAGTTAAACGATGCAGACCAGATCTTGCCTCTCCACCTCCTCTTAATTTTCAAGTCCTCATTATGCATCAGATGTGTTTCCTGAAGAAACACAATGTTAGACTGCAAAAATTTTATTCTGTTCATGACTTGTTTAACTTTCTTCAGATTTCGTAACCCTCTGCTGCCCCACGTCATGGCCGACGTGACACCGGCATAACCCTAAGTTTATTTGTCGAAATAGGGGTGATTCACTTACTCCAGTGCCCAGCAGTCTCGTCTCTGTCAGTGCTCCCTAGGGCAGCTGTGGCTACAGTGTAGCTTGCCATCACCAGTGTGTGAATGTGTGTGTGAATGGGTGAATGACTGAATGTAGTGTAAAGCGCTTTGGGGTCCTTAAGGACTAAGTAAAGCGCTATACAAATACAGGCTATTTATCATTTACCATACAACAGTAATCAAATGATAAATGGTGACAATAGTGTTTTCATTATAGAACCTTTCTAGTCTTAGTCCTCATAACAGACGCAAATGATACAGGTCTCTGATCTATGAACTTTAACCACTTTCATTACACACAAACTCTCTCACACACAATGATGGATGGTTTGCCGATAATTTGTTTATCAACAGCAGTGAATACACCAGGGGCACTGCCACAGAGGATACTCAGAAATTATGTAAAGCACTCCAAACACTGAATGGAACATGTTTGGTATTATTTTATGTTGAGAACAATTATAGTTCTGTGTACTAACTGATAGATATTTATACCTGTATTGCTCTGATATTCTCCATCAGTTGGTCAGTTCTGGAAGCTCCCAACAGGACAGAATTTACCCTTTCATTTCTAAGGCACCAGGCTGTGGGGGTTTACAGCACAGAGAGAAAATGTTAATGTCAATGATATCAAATCAAGTTAAATACAATGTTTTCTAGAAAACTGCATTGTATTTTCACAGGACAAATGTGTTTTGTATTATGTTTATTATATTTTTTCTTTTACTTCTACAGTCATTTGCAGAGAATATAACATACAACAATATTTAATGTAGGGAAGCCAGTGTATTATTATACATATAGTAATGTTATTCATTTACCAATAGCCAGTTGGGGAAGAGTGCAGTCTATTCTTTCAGCAACTGCCTGCAACTCCTTTAGCTTCACCTGCTGGCGGTGCCCCTCCTCGTTTAGGATCTTGTCTTTTAGCCATTGATAACCCTGTTACAGATAGTTAAACAGACTGTAAGAAAATCTGATTGTTAACTAGTTTACCGAAATTACAAAGAGAAGAATAAGCTAAAAATAAAAAACTAAGCACTGCCATTCTCTTAGAGATTTCACCCAAGAAGTCCTCTTGGGATGAGATGAATCACTCTGATTCATTGGCAGCTGTAGAGTTGTGGCTTTTTAAATCTGTGACCAGAGTAAATCAGCTCACTCTCTGCCTGCTGGCCACATGTGTCCATTGATGGTCCCAGGACAGCCGTGGTCCTACATCACCATTGATTTCATTACTGGCTCTATCAGTGGGTAATAACTCTATACTAACATCTATAGACAGTTCTCCAAGGCTATGCACTCTGTCACCTTCCACAACTCCCTTAAGCTTCAGAAATGGCTCAGTTCCTCAGGAACCATGTTTTTTGGCTCTATTACCAGACATTGTCTCGGAGTGTGGACCTCAGTTCACCTCTCGAGTTTGGGATGTCACAAAACAGCTGTGTGCAGGCAGAATAGGACCTAAATGCAGACTTCACGGAGGCGAAAATGTAAACTTAAAAAGCAGCTTTATTGCTGACAGTGAAAACTTTAGAAAAACTACACTGGGAAAATATAAATTAAACACATGGAGAGACACATAGGGAAACACACAGCCATGTATGAGGAGATTACGACACGTGACTGAGGGATACGCTGACATAAATACACAGAGGGATACAGGGCAAAGAAGAATCAGCTGGAAGGCACGGCAGGCACAAAATACACAGATGAGACAGGGAACGGCAAGCTGATGGGAGACTATCAAAGTAAAACAAGAAGTACATAGAGGCACAGACTGGAGAGAGAGAAGGAACTGGGGAACATAGATAAACATAACAGAATAAAACACGACGGGAAAAATGGCACAAGAACTCATACCACAATATTAACACAGACACACGGAGGGAGACACAGGGGGTAAAGACACAAGGGGAAATCTAACAACTAAACCTAATCAAAACAACCCAGGTAATATGGAATGATCCTTAGAAACAACAAACTAGACTTAACAAAGTACAAAAATGACAAAAAAAACACAATAAACTCAAACCACTGGATCACCCAGGACTGTGACAGCCAAGGTTAGAATCTCTTCTGGATTTCACAGACATAAAAATGGCAGAGAGGTCTAACCAGGAGCAGGAGGCTGCTCTTCGTTGCATGGTCCAATCTCAGTCAACCTGAAGCTTGCATTTGGCTTGAGCTGAGTACACCCACAACTCCTTGACCTCCTCTGCTGCCAGTTTGTCCCCATTTGAAGTCTTATTGGGGTATTAACCATGCCTGTTCCCCATTCAGGAAAATGAACTGTCGGTCTCCTCAGTTCAATACCACCTTCATCGCCAGTGTCAGATATGGTGAATGGCCAAGGTGTCTCTCCTCAAGAGGCCGGACGAAAACAAGAGATGGGAAGATCGTCACTGGACCCTGACCCCTAATTGCGCTCTGGGTCAGAAAGTTTAGCTGTCTTAGAAAAATACTCAATTACAAACTAAATTGGAAAACCTATAATGGCCCTTTTGTAATAGAAATTTAAAAAACAGAAAAATTACAACCTTACAACCTTGCTTGTGTCCAGGATACACCTCCCAGCTTAACACTCCTAGACAATTGAATTTTATGATTTACTTTTATCTTATATATACACTCAACAAAAATATAAACGCAACACCTTTGTTACTGCTCCCATTCCCCATGGGATGGACGTAGAGACCTAAAATTCATTCCAGATACACAATATAACCATCCCTCCCAAACAGTGGTCACAAATCAGTCCAAATGTGTGGTAGTGGGCACATCTGCTATATTGAGATAATCCCTCCCACCTCACAGGTGTGCCACATCAGGATGCTGATCTGACATCATGAGTAGTGCACAGGTGTACCTCAGACTGCCCACAACAAAAGGCCACCCTGGAATGTGCAGTTTTTTGCGCTATTGGGGGTCTGGGGACCCAGAACCGGTCAGTATCTGGTGTGACCACCATTTGCCTCATGCAGTGCAACACATCGTCGCATGGAGTCTATCAGATTGTCAATTGTGGCCTGTGGAATGTTGGTCCACTCCACTTCAATGGCTGTGCAAGGTTGTTGGATATTCGTGGGAACTGGTACACGCTGTCGTATACGCCGGTCAAGCACATCCCGAACATGCTCAATGGGTGACATGTCCGGTGAGTATTCTGGCCATGCAAGAACTGGGACATTCTCAGCTGCCATCTGCCCTGAACAATGTGAACCATGATTAATCCGTGAAGCGCACACCTCTCCAACGTGCCAGACGCCATCGAATGTGAGCATTTGCCCACACAAGTCTGTTACGGCGACGAGCTGGAGTCAGGTCAAGACCCCGATGAGGACGACGGGCATGCAGTTGAGCGTCCCTGAGACGGTTTCTCACAGTTTGTGCAGAAATTGTTTGGTTGTGCAAACCAATTGTTCCAGCAGCTGTCTGGGTGGCTGGTCTCAGACAATCTTGGAGGTGAACCTGCTGGATGTGGAGGTCCTGGGCTGGTGTGGTTACACGAGGTCTGCGGTTGTGAGGCCGGTTGGATGTGCTGCCATATTCTCTGAAACGCCTGTGGAGACGGCTTATGGTTGAGAAATGAACATTCAATGCACGGGCGACAGATCTGGTTGACATTCATGCTGTCAGCATGCCAATTGCACGCTCCCTCATTGCTTGTGGCATCTGTGGCATTTTGCTGTGAGACAAAACTGCACATTCCAGGGTGGCCTTTTGTTGTGGGCAGTCTGAGGTACACCTGTGCACTACTCATGATGTCAGATCAGCATCCTGATGTGGCACACCTGTGAGGTGGGATGGATTATCTCAATATAGCAGATGTGCCCACTACCACACATTTGGACTGATTTGTGACCACTGTTTGGGAGGGATGGTTATATTGTGTATCTGGAATGAATTTTAGGTCTCTACGTCCATCCCATGGGGAATGGGAGCAGTAACAAAGGTGTTGCGTTTATATTTTTGTTGAGTGTATATATATATATTAGGGGTGCAACAATACACAAAATTCACGGTTCGATTCGGTTCGATACTTTGGTGTCACGGTTCGATATTTTTTCGATACAAAAACAAATGTTCATGCCTTTTTAATTTATCATTTATTAAAATTAGAAATATATATTTTAACTCAAAAGTACAGTTTTTAAATTTAATGTTGCTGAAACAACAAAATAAAAATAAATCTATCTAATCGAGAAATCACTTATCTTTGGAAAAGAGAATTTATTACAGAGAAATGGCTCTTTCCAAAATAAAAGCTATACTATACGCTTCTTCTGAGGTATACTCTCAGCAGCATATTAAACGTATCAGGTAAGGAGAATCATGTGCTAACGGCTGTCTAAATGACTCGGGTAAAGTGTGTAGCATGCGTGCTTGTTGTTTTTGTCTGCTTCCACTTGTCTTTGCACTAGGATGATGTCGGCATAAATGTGCAGTCATATTTGTTGTGTTCCCACCAGTGTTGTCAGCGTTAATCTCGTTAAAATGACATTAACGCCATAACGCAGCAAATCTCCGTTAACAAGTTACCGCGGATTGCCCCGTGCTTGGGGCTGGATGGCGTCAACACGTTAACAAGCTAACTGCGCTATTGCACTAGTTCCCAAAAATTGAGCATTGCGTGGCACATCCAACATACTGTTTTACTTTTGTCCATGGCACACTTACCATCAGGGTCTCGCTTCACATGAAAACCAAGATAGTTCCAAACGCCAGATCTGAATGAGGGTGGGGGAGGTTCAATTTTGGGTAGCACTGAGGTAGTTGCCATGTTGCAACGAGCTTAGCTTCTGTCTTGCTAGTTTGCGCTGCGCTCAGTGGATCTGCATTCGACAGTACAGCCTAGGCAGAGTAGTCGAACGCAGATCGTAATGAACCGAAAGCACTGTATCGAACGGTTCAATATCGATATGAGTATCGTTGCACCCCTAATATATATGTAACTTTGCATCCCACTGTTTATATTTATATATATATATATATATATATATATATATATATATGAACACTGTGTATATATATATATATATATATATATATATATATATTGCACACTTTCTGTAAATCCGATAAACTTCATTCCACTTCTCAAATATTACTGTGTGTCTCCTATATGATATATTTAACTGACATTTTTTATCGTAACAACCAACGATTTATACAGGAAAATATTGACTTCTAACACACACACACACACACACACACACACACACACACACACACATATATATATATATATATATATATATATATATATATATATATATATATATATATATATATATATATATATATATATATTAGGGGTGCAACGATACACAAAATTCACGGTTCGGTTCGGTTCGATACTTTGGTGTCACGGTTCGATATTTTTTCGATACAAAAAAATGTTCATGCCTTTTTAATTTGTCATTTATTAAAATTATAAATATATATTTTAACTCAAAAGTACAGTTTTTAAATTTAACCCTAACCCTTGTGCGTGTTTTTTATTTTGACAGCAAATGCACACCTGCGGACCACTTATGTGCAGCCCTGGTTATTTAGCTCATCATATTGCAGCCACAGAAATTATTTTGTCCATGAAACCATAAAGCTGCACTTTCTTTTTGCCTTATAGTCTGATTTGTCATAACTTCACCGTTTTGTGGTAAGCTTTTCTTTGGCTGTCACTTCTTCACCCTGACCTGTCTTATTTGGCTCAGCAGAACTAAAATATATATCCTGCTGCTTTTACACACGCACTCACATAAGCTCAGCGATTCTCTGCGCGATCAACCTCTCACATGTTTAAGCTTGCTGCGGGAGATTTCACTTGTCATGTTTGCATAGTAAGCTAACGATTAATAAGACGATGTCAGAGGAATTGGTGCACAAATTATCATCACTCACAGATCAGTGCTGTCGCTCTCTATACACAGTTCGCACGATTGCAAAGTGAAAGCAAAAAAACAAGCGCAAATTCAAACGCGATTTCAATATGTCACATATTGACAGTGGCTCACCGATGCCAATGACATAATTACCCAGCTACATTTCTGAAAGAATGCAAAAGCATTGACATATATTTTTCCTTCCTACAATAGCCCAACGGGCAGGGAAGAGATAGATTTTGGTAGCCCGGCTGAAAAAAATCGCTAGCCCCAGGACGTCGGGCTAGCGATATTGCAAGACCTGTCTGTATCTGATTGAGGAATCACTCATCTTTGGAAAAGAGAGTTTATTACAGAGAAATGTCTCTTTCCAAAATAAAAGCTATATTATACGCTTCTTCTGGGCTATATTCTCAGCAGCATAAGGAGAATCATGTGCTAACAGCTGTCTAAATGACTCGGCTAAAGTCAGTAGCATGCTTGTTGTTTTTGTCTTTGCACTAGGATGATGTCGGCGTAAACGTGCAGTCATATTCGTTGTGTTCCCACTAGTGCTTTCAGGTTAATCTCGTTGAAATGATCTTAACGCCACAACACGGCAAATCTCCGTTAACGAGCTACCGCCGATCGCCCCGTGCATGGGGCTAGACGGCCAACACGTTAACGAGCTAACTGCGCTAACACACTAGTTCCCACCCATGTAATTGAGCATTGCATGGCACATCCAACATACTGTTTTACTTTAGTCCATGACTCGCTTACTTTCAGGGTCATACGTCACATGAAAACCAAAATAATTCCAAACGCCAGATCTGAATGAGGGTGGGGGAGGTCCATGTTGCAAGGGGAGCTTAACTTCTGTCTCGCTAGCTTGCCCTGCGCTCTTCCTTCTGACTATGCTGTCTGTGTTGAGCGCTCAGTGGATCTGCGCTCGACAGTGCAGCCTAGGCGGAGTAGTCGAACGCAGATTCACTGAGCGCTCAACACAGACAGCATCGTCAGAAGGAAAGTTGATAAAATAAATTACAAATGTTGTATTGTTCGATACATATGCGTACCGAACCGAAAGCACTGTATCGAACGGTTCAATATCGATACGAATATCGTTGCACCCCTAGTATATATATATATATATATATATATAGGACTAAACGCACGCATGAGGTAATCAGGGAAAGTGGAGACACAGGAGGGCACAGCTCTGACTACAATGAAACAATGACAACACAGGGGAGAGTAAGACTAAATACAATGAGCAAAGAAACACAAGGACTTTTATTAGAGTGAATTGTTAAATGTTGTCATTTCTATGCTTGCCAGCTCTGATGAAAGAAATTCCACTGTCCTTCCCCCCAGATTCTTGAGGTTCTGGTGGGGGGCTGTAATGTTTTATTGCAGATACATCCTATCTGGAAGATCTGCTTCTTTTGATGTAAGCTTCCTGCGTTTACGACCCTTTGGTCAGCAGGAGGTCTGACACACACACACACACACACACACACACACACACACACACACACACACACACACACACACACACATTCTTACAGAAGTTCACACATATACATACAATGCTTTGTCTTAGAACTAAGGGGGCGTGGCTTTGTTCTGACGTGTTTTGTGTGAACTGTCTCTCAATAAAAGGTAGCAGGAGGAGGTCAGATCTGAGGGTCATTTTCGTGGTGGACACAGACGAGGCCTCCCTTGCGCAAATAATCGATCGACTGTCTTGTTTTCTTCTAGAATTAGCGGGGCTTGTGGAAACACAGACCCAACAACTTTCAACATAAAACAGGTAGCATGACGGAACACAGACGTGACCCGAACTTGACAACATAAACCACGCAGGCATAACATAAGAGGTAAGACACACACAACAACAAGGGGAACTTCAACACAAGGGAAGATGACATAAGGAGTCTAAATGAATAAAGAGCTGAAACTAGGCAACCTTGGAACAGGTAGCATGACGGAACACAGACTCAAAAAAGACTCAATGAGCCAAAACATAAACAATGAATATCAAAATACAATGAAACACAAAAAACTGGGTCAAACAACCCAGGACCATTACAGTTCCTTTGTTTAATACCAGATGGATATTAAATATTGGGATATTACCTTAAGTGAAGCACGTGAATAAGGAGGGATTCCATTGTTATATTTCCCTGAGATGATCCCACAAGCCAGTGGACACCATGTCATAGCTCCAATGCCTGCATGTCCAAAAGGAATACATACAGAATATTTTAAAAAATTATTTCTTTAATTTCCAGATTATGAATCGGTGTTCAGAAGGCCACTTAACATATGGTTACATTGTAACCTTGGTTCTCTGAGTGAGATAATATCTCTCCACTCCATTACATATTCCATATGTATGGGGTATGACCCAGAGAACAAAGGTTACAATGTAACCTTACATTCTCTATCATATCGAGACTCTCCAGTTTGCTATATATTCCATATGTACGGGGTAACTCTGTAAGACACCCCACGAGAAGACAGTGCAACCAAATCCCAGAATGTATTTACAAACTATTTACAAATGTACATATACATATGCCACCCCGGTCAGGGCTTCGCCAGACGCAAGACTGGCCTGAACTGGTCCCAAAAGACGTAAGGACTGCAACTGAGCGGCCACTCTACACTGTAAACCCCAACAGTCTACCTGACTTATAAAGTTTGTGGATATAACAATTAAAATTCCTCACAAAGTTGAAACAACTTAAAACTTTTCTGTTCGGTTAACGATTCAAACAGTTATAATTGTACATGGCTTAGAAGTTAAGAGTAAATACTGCTTTCTTAATTATGATTTTTGAGTAAATGTTTTTTTCCGAGCTCCGCATGTGGACGTCATGACGTCATGACGTCTTCTCTCTAACCTGAACGACGTTGACAGAAAATTCTGTTCAATATGGCTGCCCTTCTCGAGCGACTGGAGAACACATTTGGAGAAACTTGTAAGTAAAACTGAACCTTCGTTATGTTTATTTTTTCCGTAAAAAAGCAAGTATATTAATATGTTGCAGCCAATAACTTGTTTTCGAATGCGCTGTTGTGTTAAAAAGCACAGACCCAGGTGGTGAATAGTTGTTCGCGGTTGTTCGCGCTCTTTTTCAAACATAGATTATGTCGTCAGTTTTACAGTTTTAACCGATTAAAACACAGTTTTACGAAGAATCACACATAAAGAAAGGGTCTTAGTGATATTTTAACGACCCTTGCCAACGCAAGAAAGTTGGCGTTTTTACAACAGCAGCCTCATTGTTCAGCAGGTTTGTTTTTTTTTCTTCTCATTAGCATCATTCAAAAGTGACTTAGCTAGCAGTGGCAACTTCTATCTAAAACAATTGAAATATAGCAAGGTGTTGTATATTTAGTGTGCTGATAAGGTTTTCAATATTTTTATTTTTTCTTCCAAGGCTGAAGGCCAAAGACAAAAAGACAGAAGAAAAAAAAAATTCAGACTGCAATTAATTTCAGGTGGAGACAGTAAACACAGGTGAGTTGAAAGATCTATTGAAGAAACCATTCATTAAGTCCCTTAAGGTGAAGATTTCATATATTGATAATGATAAAATTAACACAAATTAAAAGTTTCACTGATAAACACACAATTTTTCCTTGCTTTGAACCCCATGTTCTATATAGATCACAGCTCTGATCTGGAGAACACTATTTTAAAATACTGTGTAGGGTTTTTGTCAAATGATTAAGAAACATACTCTCTGTCACAAGAGACAGAAAGGTTGTATCTTAAAAGAAAAGTCTCCAAAATTTAGTAGAGTCTGATGTCATGCAGTTTCATAAACATGTATTCTCCCCAAAGAATGACACCTGAAAACTTTGCGTTAAATGAACTTTTCTTTTCCCTTTTTAGGAGGCGCCTGATATCAACGTGAAACGCACTGCAGTACTTCGTGCCCTTCCTGTATACCTGCGGGAGGAGGACCCAGAATTCTTTTAGACATGTAATGTAAGTGTATTTTTGCATTACTTAAATTCTGCCAGTAAGATAAAATGCTATGGATTTTTTTTAAATACAATTTAATACCCTAGCAGCTACCAAATTGTACAAACAAAATACCCTCTCTGTAGAAAACCCACACACACACAGGTCAGGAGCAGGGCACAGGCGTATCACAGCACTATGGCTATGCTGCAGGTGGCCCAAAAACCAGGCTGAAGTCAAGATTTAGTTTCTTTTTGAGATAAAGTCATGAAATAAAAAATTACTTTTTTTTTTAGAAAAATAATAAAAATACAAATTATGTAATGCAAGAAGCTAACACGTTAATGTACATTTTTCAAAAAAAGTAGAGTACCCTAACTCGTTACAAAGTAACCCACTACACTGCTGAATGTTTTGCTAGATTACAGGTCATGCTTGTCACATTCTCTCAAACCAACCTTACTTATTTAATTGGGGCGATCGTGGCTCAAGAGTTGGGAGTTCGCCTTGTAATCAGAAGGTTGCCGGTTCGAGACCCGGCTCGGACAGTCTCGGTCGTTGTGTCCTTGGGCAAGACACTTCACCCGTTGCCTACTGGTGGTGGTCAGAGGGCCCGCTGGTGCCAGTGTCCGGCAGCCTCGCCTCTGTCAGTGCGCCCCAGGGTGGCTGTGGCTACAATGTAGCTGCCATCACCAGTGTGTGAATGGGTGTGAATGTCTGGATGACTGAATGTGTAAAGCGCTATACAAATACAGGCCATTTACCATTGATACTGTGTCTATTCCAGGCGGACGCATTGGATGAGTCGACCCTCATTGACACTCCAGTTGCCCTTCTCACAGTGGTTACCGACGGCGCTTCCCAGTCCAGTCCATTTTACTTCCTCAAGCATGGCTGTTTTGGTGAAAGGCGACTAGGTGATGCGTGATATTCCCAGATTTGCAAATGCATTTGCTTTATTGTTTGGCTTGATCTATGCTCTGCATTTAGACTACCCCAGGAAGCTGGTTCACACATTTGCCTTAGTCCAAAATATCTTCATGGGGCTTGATGACGGCAAACCCCTGAAACCCCTGCCTACATGCTCTTAAGGAATATAAGGCAATGTTTGTTAGGACACGCACTCTGTTACTGAGCACTTTGTTTGAAGCACTTTAAGCACTTTAAGTTTACTACAGGCTTTGGGTGGATTTAACTCCATCAGTTTACCTAATTTTCCTATACTTGACTGCCTTATCTGGTTATTTGGAAGCTGATCATCTTTGTACCCATTTTAAAAAATTGTTTTTCATTTCTATTTAAAAAAAAGTGATTAGTATTTGACTTTTTGTTTTGCATTTTTGTGTATTTTGAGAAAGATGCAATTAGGACTGATGTCGTCCTTTGTGAGTTTATAAAAAGATAAATGTTCTACACAGAATTTATAATGCTCACTTTATGGTGCCGATGTCCATGTTAGTTGTTTTATAAAAACATTTGTGATGTTTTTAAATTTTCATGAAAAAATGTTAAATAAACAAAATGTAAAGTAACTGAATTTCCGTACTTTTTTTTTTTTTTAGTAGTCTACACTCACAACATATCTTTTAATTAATAATCAGATAATTTGAGTTTAGGTTGTAATATAATTGCATTGTGTTGCATCAAAATAATAAACTACAAGAAACACAAAAATATTGAAATTAAAGTATACAGTCTTTGAGTAAAGCTCAATTAATAAAATATAAAATATAATTTAAAATTTTTAGGTTAACAATAAATACAAATTTTGAGTACCCCATACTTAGAAGATATGAGTTTTTGTACTTAAATCTTTTGAGGTAATCAGTTTCCACAAAAGTTTTAAGTTCAGTCAACTTGTTCGGGTTTACAGTGTAGGTCAGCCCACAAGATGCTAGGCTGACCGGGGAACGATGGCTACCACCAATGGGCACCCAGCATCTGCTCTCAAGAGATGAGCAGGCTGCCACGTTCAAGCGGAAAATTTGCGTAAAGGTGGTGGCCGAGGACAAAGTCATCAATGTACAAATGGCCAAGAGGGCAGCGCCCCTCCATATGGCCCAAGAAGTCCACCCTGCAGGTCAAGTGGGCCTGAACACCTGAGGGAAGAGGAGCTCCTACTGAAGCATAAGCCTGCAGGATTAACTGGGACTTAGACCACTAGTCCATTGTCCAAAGTGACGGGGTACGTGCAACATACAGAACCAGAGCTCGGATAGGTCACAGAGCCTGCAGACGCAGAGCTGCCTCTCATTCCAACCCTTCAGTGGGAGCTGAGTGCTGCTCAACCGTCTGAGAAAAGTAAAAGTCCGAGAGGACTTGTGGCAAGAAGGCAAGAATGCAGGGTTGGGTCCGAGGACCACCCCCTTCCCATCAAGCAGTCACTGTGGCCGACAGTGCATGGAGCTCACTTATTCTTCTGGTGGAAGTTATGGCCAGAAGGTGGTCTTAAGCGATAGCCACTTCAACTTAGCATCTTCCAGGGGCTCAAATGGAGGGCACTGGAGGGCACTAAGGACCAGTTCCAGGTCCCAAGGGGAAACCGAGCTGTTAGGTCCTGGACACCCCTAGCAAACGCGAAATCAAAGCAGCGTTAGCGCAACGCTGACGCTGCTTTGATTTTGCAGTTGGCTGTTCACCTTGGTCGCTCAGTGCTCAGTTGCTGAGCACTGAGCGACCAAGGTGAACAGCCTTAATCACAGCCACTAACCCATGAAGGATAACAGCAGCTCTGCCTGCCTCTAGCTGGGACTGCAGGATGGTATTGACTGTGGCAATTTGGGTGTCCAGTCCATGGACCACCATGGCATCAACTGTTACACCATGGGGTCCAGCCTGTGGACCACGCACCAGGAAGCAAACACTCCCCAGTGATAGCAGTAGGAAGCCCTTGTGGATGGTGCACAAGTTTCCTGCATGGTGTTCACAACAGGGGCAGGAAGTCGTAAGGAGCGCAGCCTCTCCTCCTCAGGGGCCAGGCCATCAGCCGCAGCCTTGCGGGGAAAGGATGGAAGAGCGACCCTCCGGCCTGGGGCAGGAGGTCCCAGGGCATGCCATCCAGGAGGGGTGGGATTACTTAAAACCAGGGCGGAGGACCGAGTGGAGGAGGAAGAAAGGGGGGAAGGTGTAAAGGAGTGCCTGGGGCCAGGGATGCACAAGGGCACCTCACCCTAGAGGGGTGTCGTCGGACTTCAGGGAGAAGTACAGAGGGCAAGTGTGTCAATTTCCTGGAGGCAAAGAAGTCAACCTCTGCCCTTTACTCCCCTGGGCATGGACTGCCCCTGGACATAATGTCTGCTGCCATGTTCAGGGAACTTGGCACATGAACTGCCCAGAGGGAGAGGAATTGGCAGTGAGCCCACTGCCACAGCTGGGCGGCCAGTTTGCAGAGGGGAGGAGAGCCCAGCTCCTCCTGCTGGTTGATATAGGCTGCGGCAACTGTGCTGTCTGTCTAGACAACCACGCAATCGAGACAGGAAGTGCCGAAGTGCCAGGAACATGGCCAGTACTATGGGCAGACCTTTGTGCCATCAGAAACTGAATTTGAAGTTAATTAATTTGCTTTGAAACTGTATTTTGTCCTTTAAAAATGTAGCTCTTGAATAATTTCAGTTTCATTTATCACCATTCAGTTTCAGTTGGAATTTCAGTTCCAAAATTCTTTTTTTTTGTTACTTGCATCCAGTTCCGCTTCCAGGGTAATTGAGCGCAGATTAATAGAACTACATTTTATCAGTGGAACGAAGCTGTTACTGATGGGAATCTACATTATCTTGAGCTGGAGCTGGATTAAGACTTCAAAAGTCAGCAGATAAACTCTCTGGTTGGTAATAAATGTATCACATGTATAAGAACAAGCGTCATGTTAAAAAATGATAGTTGTACAGTAACTTTTATGCTTATAATTTGGCGTAGTTTGCCCTTGGTTCAGCTTTGACAAACAAATATGATTGACTGTTTCTTATAGAATTCCACAGTTGTCATATTGTACCCTCTCAGAGCCCCCTACAGTAGGGAAATATACAAATGAATGTCCAAAACATTGTATTTTAGGTTTATTAATGTCTTGCACAACATAACGTTAGCTAAAGTGAATAGTTTAATTCATTAGTGCAGCATTACTGGATCACCTCTGTTTGAAGTGATATAATATGGTATACAACTATTATTGAAACAGCAAAGTTTGTAAAAAGAAACTTTAACAAACAAAAAAAACCCCAAGACTTCTCATTCTCTAAACGTTTGGCCACAGCTGTAGATTACACTATCAGTGCTTGTTGACTCTTGTCAATAATTACATTTTACACAACCCACGCACACAGTCACATAGTACCACAGGTCGGGATGGGTACCGATATCCGGTGCCATTATGGCACCCAGTGCATTTTGGTGCTTTATTTCGGTGCTTTTTTTTCCTGAGATGTCATACATTTTCGATTCTAGCCAATCATTTTACCTTTCCAGGGATAGTAGGCAGGCCCAGGTATGTGCGTTCTTTTAGAGCAGAGCTACAGATTAAAAATGCTCAAGGCAAAGTGGTCAAAAGTCTGGCTGTACTTCACAGCAAAAGATGCAAACTCAGCAGCCTAAGGTGATACTGTGCAAAGGAGGTAACACCTCGAATCTGATGAAACACGCATAGCGTATTTTTAAAACCCCAGAAGAGCACCATATTTGATAGCTTGCTGCAAGACCTCACACCAAGCACATATATTGCGGGAGTGGTGCCTGTTATCGAACCTGGAGTTAGCAACATCCCCCAAGAACCCAAATAGGAGAGTCCTAGCCCTAGCCACCGGTTCCAACCAAAGGAGGTATGTTGTATCAACAGAAAAGGCTAACTTGGTTATCATTTTGCAGAAAAAAAGAGACTGCTAAAAATAAAAACATAAGAGGTTTTTGGACAAAGTTTGTGTTCGCATTTCTCTAAGCTCCGGTTCGAGCACCGTTTAAGCACCAGCACCATTTCAAAAGTACCAGTTTGGCACCAGTATCGGATAAAACCTAAACGATACCCATCCCTAACCACAGGTAGTGTGAGTACAAGAAAATAATTATTATAATATGATGTGTTAAATTTGTTTAGATCAGAGGTTCATAAACAAGATGGCGCCGAGTATGACAGCCTCGCCGCGAGCTCCCCCAAGCAACAGCTGTTTTTCTGTGTTTAATTTTACTTTTCCTTTATTTTTTCGCGAGTAGCACGTCTCCTTGTGTACGACCGACAAACCTTACTGGACATAAAAGACGGTCTTTCTTATAACTTTCCGGAGTTCAAGTTTTGCAACACGGACGCTCCGTTTGCAGACCCTCATTCATCTCACCTGAGACGCTTTTGTTCTCTGGCCCTGGAGGCCGCAAACGCCGACGCAGAGGGAGAAGATCTGGCGTTCTGGTTCGACTGAGACGGCGCACTAACAGACCACCGTTATCTAGTTTATTACTGGCTAATGTGCAGTCTCTGGAGAACAAGCTGTGCGAGCTTCGGGCACGGATCTCATTCCAGCAAGAGATGCGGGACTGGTGCGTGATCTGCCTCACAGAAACCTGGCTATCGGACAAGGTACAATACAACTACCGGGGTTCTCCGTGCATCGCGCGGACAGGTCACAGGATCTTACTGGGAAAAGCAGAGGCGGTGGTGTATGTTTCATGATCAACAACAGCTGGTGTGATTATGCGAACGTGCACCCGGTCAAATCCTTCTGCTCACCGGACCTGGAGTACCTGATGATTAAATGCCGGCCATTCTGGCTACCGAGGGAATTTACAGCAGTGATTATTATGGCTGTTTACATTCCCCCACAAGCCGACACTGACCGAGCACTCAGGGAACTGTACAGCGCGATCAGCAGCGAGGAAACCGCACACCCAGAGGCAGCGTTTATCACGACCGGGGACTTTAATAAGGGAAACCTGAAGAAAGTCTCACCGAAACTCCACCAACACATCCACTTCAACACTCGTGGAGACCGGCTACTTGACCACTGCTGCACCTCTTTCCGGGATGCATACAAAGCCCTCCCCCGCGCCCCATTCGGCCAATCAGATCACCGCTCCATCCTGCTCCTGCCCGCCTACAGGCAGAAGCTGAAACAGGAAGCTCCAACCCGGAGGGCGGTGCACTGTTGGACGGACCAATCGGAGTCTGCGCTGCGGGACTGTTTTGATCACGCGGACTGGGAAATGTTTCACGTGGCTGCTAGGGACATTGATGAGTACACAGACTCAGTCTGCGGATTTATCAGGAAATGCGTGGAAGATGTCGTCCCATCCAGAACAGTTAAATCCTTCCCAAATCAAAAACCCTGGATTAACGGAGATGTTCGCGCGGCACGGAGCACCGCCTTTGCCTCCGCGAACACATCGGACTACAAACACGCACATTACCAACTCCGGAAGACGATCAAAGCAGCCAAACATGAGTACAAGGACAGGGTGGAGCAACAGTTTGACAACCCTCGGAGTATGTGGCAGGGACTAAACACGATCGCAGACTTTAGAGGGAAACCCAGCACACCGCAGACCACGG